AGAATTTTTCTAAAAAATTCTTCTCCGTGCACTAGTTGCGCTTGAAATTATCATTTAAAGGCAGCGGTAGCGATACGATAGAGCAGATCTCAAAGAGCTTCGAGACGTTACACAAAACTCAAATTGGCCGATAATTTTTTACATCATTTTTGAGCCTGGGTTGAAAACTAACTTATTCATTTATTTATCTATTCATGAGCTAAGATAATCTTGAAACATTCTTAAACCCAGCATATGCTCGGCGAAATAGCTTGCTAACCAAAAGTGTTTCACCTATTTTTTAATAGGGTATTTTTTAATAGAGGAAAATTACACTTGAACTGATAATCAGAACAGACGCGTGATGATGATGATAATGGCGTCTAGAGAGGCAGCAGGGAAGGGGGAACCGAGTAAAAAGACATTATCCAATTTGCTACGCAAGTTATAGCACTCCTGAGGCGCCCGAATGCTTGAACAACGTGAAAACACAGTGCAATAGAAGGAGAATGGGTGAAGAACGGATGGCGTGGGCAGTCGGTGTCGGACACAGTTAAGGTGTACGAAGAGAAATGGATGGTTGTTTAGGAGTGGGAAAGGATTCGCGTGGCTCACGTGCGTTTGAGGCGCAGTCGCGCGTGTCCGATCGGCTCTACATGGGGAAACACAGAGAAAGAGGGGAAGAGAGTGAGAGAGAAAGACAGAGGTACGTAGTAAAAGGTGAACCACAAGGCACCTGCGGAAGAGACGGCAGGGCATGAGCTTGGGGCTCATCAAAAACAACTGAGTGTATCTCGCCCACGCGGGCTCTACACCGAGATATACGCCCGATTAGAGGAGCGAGGATGGTTGTGGGCGGCTGGAGAGAATAATAAAAAATATGAAAGGCTGAATTCATTATGTCCAAAAATAATATTTCTATTTTATTTGCATTCAACGGATGACTCCCTCGAGATTTTTGGCACCATTTTTTCTCCGCGAGGTTTTTTTACCCTTTTTGGAGATGATTTAATATGATTTTTTTTTTCATCAGTTTTTTCGTCGCAGTTTTATGAATACTATCATTTCGGTTTAAATTAACTGAGATTCTCGGGGGGACAGGATATGTAATATTCATAGAATGGTATATGTAGGTACAGCTGGTTATACGATGCAGGAACCAGCCAATAACCAACGAGGGCGTTTGCGAGAGTGACCGGCAAGGTTAATACGATTGGATGATTGGCTACATTGGTAAATTGATCGTCAACTTTAGTTACATTGAGCAAATGAGGATATGCTCTCGAGTTGGGGAGTGCTATCTGCTGATAGTGCTGTTGATTGATGAACAAGGGATTTTTACTTTCTGTAACGTGAGAGTCGAGAGCCATTGATACACTTTGGAAATTCACGGAGAGAAATGTTCAGGAAAAATTACGGAACTCACAATTCACTCACCGATTACGGAATCGAATTAGAAAATTTAAGTGACGGTGTCGCAATTTTTCACAGAAGATTCAGATAAAAATTGCGGAACGCTCCGGAAAAATTCCGTGACAGTTCCGTAAAATTTCCTACAACCACATTTCGCTCCGGAATTACGGAAAAGATACGTAATTTTTATTGAATATTTCTCTCCGTGAATTGAGAATATTGATCTTAGTTCGGGAATAATTCTAGAATCATTTTTAGTATTTTTTTTTGGAAAGTTGGGGTGTCACGGGAATTCTCTGCGAATTATAACGAATAATGAATAAGGAACTTCTCACCTGATTGAATTAGTTCTCTGTAAAAAAAATTGGTGAAACGTTTTATTGTTATTTTTGTTTTACATATGTTTACAGAGCTTCCATTCGGAAATGAAAACATAGCTTTTCATTGATTCATTTCATTGAGGACTTTCATATTTCACCGCAGTCTCCTCTTGGACAGCTGTAGACGTCGCAGGATTAAGGATGTTTATCCAAAATCCGCATTGTTCACCAAAATCTGTATATTGTCTCATATGCCAGATTCACATTTGAGCCATACGTTAGTAATAATCTTAATTCTTTCATCGGGGCATCCTAGTGAGAAATTAATTTCTGAAAATCACTTCTTGTAACATTACGCTTGGGGAAGAAACGTGACCGTGCGAACTTTGATCAAGATGTTGCATGGGTTAGACAAATAGACACTCAAGATATTGAAAAAAAAACACAAGCCATTTACTTCAGACTATGGAGAATCTATCGCCGGCGGGAACAAGTAGGGGACCGGGCCATATAGGCGTGATATCTTCGATTGATTTTCGAATTTCTCTAAAAAAATTTGACCGCCATTACGAGTCGAGCAGCGCGGCAACACCGCACAACAGCTGATCGAGGTCGGTAAAGTCGGTGACGATAATTCAGTGCTGGAAGCATATGGACAAGTATAACACATACAAATAATCATCTCACTGTTACAATCCCACTACTAGCCGAAGCGTGCGATGTTGCCCGATCAAAATTCGACTGTTACCACTGCAGTCACAAGCCCTCCATTATTTATGAACATTTTCGTTAATTATTGTTTTTGAGGCCAGAAAAGTACCCCCTAACACTTCAAATTTGATGAGAAAAGTAATTTGTAACGTGAATGATTTATTTAGTCAATTTATTTTTTCGTTTCAACTGAGTTGTCCACTTGGTAGGTTAAACATCCTTAACGCGATGTTTCCGATTTTTTGAATCAATCATTCAACTGTCGCGTCAAGCCTGCGGTGCGTTCATTCTGAAATCTCCTAGCTTAAGAATAACGTTGTACATGTTGTTTATACTATCATCCCATTTGTTCATAGAAAAATTATACCGATGAACCGATGCGTCACTCGGTTCCTCAATGTTTTCTGACCGTGTGGGTATATTTATTCTCAAGTGGGTGGCATTAGACACACCGGGGTCGATGCACGTGGGACGTCCGGTATGCGTTATGTAAGGATCATGCTCCTCCTATTCACGGTTATTCAAAATAATGACAGTAATAACAAAAAACAAAAGAGAACATGATAAGTGAAAAAAATACAATTCCCTTTAATTCCCACTGTGCGAGTTTTGCCGGCAAAGTACAAAAATACAAAAGCCATTGCCGCCGGCAAGCGTGTAGAGGCGGTTGTTTTCATGATCTATTCGTTGGCGCGCGCAAAAGGGGCTCGCCTTCTCGATAATGGATATTTTCTGGATAGCTTCATAATTCAAAACACCGAGTCTGAGACGGGAGAGAGCGAGAGAATGATGGAACGAAGGTAGTAAGACGAGGGGATCCGCAGACAGTCTATGCCATAGACGATCCACTAAAAGTTTTCTGGCTTGAAGCAGAGAGTGGAATAACGACACCAAGGTTTTGCCGGTTGCTCAGAGGTGAGGAGACACAAAGAAGTTACCTCGAAGGAGAAGAAAAACAAAGAGAAAAACAAAGCTTTAGTTTTCAGGGATCTATTCCGAATTTTTACACTCAGAAAAAAATTATTTTTGCCAAATACATAAAAAAAAAATTACTTTTGATCAGTAGCAAAAGTACTTGTACCCAGTACCAAGGGGTTTCTGGAGAAAAGGGACATTTTTGTACTTCCTTGAAGTTACAAAACAACTTGATGCAAGTATCACGCGTCAAGTACCTGTGTACTGGTGAGAAAGAAGTACTTGTCACAAGTATTTTGTTATTTGGACAACAGAATTACTTGTACTGAGTACCTGGCTGATTCTTTTGAAAAGTACCAAATAAACTCATAAATTTTCCTATAAATTTTCGGGTCTGTCACCGAAAAAATACGAAAAAGTCAAACAAGGCTCCTCAAATGTGCAGTCGTTAACTATTAACGAATGAACATTTGGTAAGCCTAGATAGACCCTCGTCTCCAATCAAATCCATTCTTTAACAATAACCAATTCTTTCTATCAATGTGGAGGAGTTCATCCAAGGTCAAATTCAACATAGTCATCTTCCAGACCAGGGATAGCCAAATTTGTAATATTTTATTACGGTTAATATTGTAGTCCTTAATCAGTTAACATCACTCTTCAAATTTGTTGAGTACTTGAGTATCATCAATTCAAATATTCAAAGTTTCAACTATTTTATCAATCAATAATTGAGGTAGGAAGATTGACGAGTATTTGTGTAATCGAAAATCCCGTTTCAAGGAATTTGAATTATTCACTTAGTAGTAAATTTACAGTTTCAGATTAACAAATTTTAAATACATCACACGGAGAGAAATTTTCTAGAAAAATTCTAGTACGAGTACTGGAAAAAATCACAATCCACCGGCTGCGAAAAATTCTAGTGCTGTTAAGGTAACATTTCTTGGTATTTCTGGTAAAATTGCTGGGGATTTCTGTGAAATTTGCACAGAAATACGAGGAAAAATTCACGTTTTCCCCAATAAAATTTCTAGTGCCGGCACTGGAATTTCTTCCTGGCCCTCACTTTGCGCCTCTTTTCCCGTGCTAGCCGCAGAATTTTTCTAAAAAATTTCTCTCCGTGCATTATTCGTAAAAAATCAGATTATTAATATTATATTATTTGAAAAATTGAATCAACATATTTTAAACCTTCATTAATGTAAGGCTCAAATTCTTGTAATATCACAGGAATTTAATATTGATGGGGATCCCTGCTCCAGACCAACATGATTATCACAATTGAAACCTGATCAGGGTCGCCTGGGAATAACTCAATAGGCAAAATCCGCTTTTGAAAAAATGCATGCTTCTCTCAAGTAAACAAATATTTGGCAAAAAAAAATTTTTTCTCCGTATAGAAATCCACCTCAAAAAGAAAGTAATCGAATCGAGCCACATCTTCGTGACCAGGCGTCTATCCACAGGGATGAGCCCCAGAATACAGCGTCTCCACGTACAAGTGATTCGCTCGGGCTGAGCCCCCGGGGCTGTCAGTCATGCCGTTCGAGATATGGGCGCATCTATCTGTTCAAAATGACTGTGACTCGTGTGTAGTATTCACAGATCGTATTAAAGGATTGGCGGACTGCGAGGCCTTCAGTCGTCTCCTAACCGGCGTCCCGTCTAGTTTCAAGCTCATCTCCGTCCCTGTCTGTTACCTCTCACACGGAGGCCCCGTCACGTTTTCATTCCATCAACTGCCAGTTCATCTCCACTGTCACTGGAATATAATCTCCGTTGGTATCCGGAAGTACCTTGTGTTATGTATGCACAGAGGGTGATTCATAATGGTTGGCAATCAAGTGGAAGTTGTGAATGGCTAATGTGCTAAAGTTATTATCTGCCTCCACTCAGCTGATGCCTCTGTGCACCTTTTGTTCGGAAATTTTACAATTTTGACGTTTTTCCGAGTTGATTTGAATAAATGGAGGAATGGATGGGACATTATTAGGGGTTAGTTTATGCTCGGATGTATATTCTGGATTTTATATGCGGTAATGTGCGGGGGTGAGACCTCAAGCATGCATATGTGCCCTGGTGGAAGGCTGTATCACGCCCGTAACTCTGGTACACTGCCAAGTTGTAAAGGAGTGTTGATAAATTTATGACGACACTGCTGAGAATAAGAACTTTGTGACTTTTTATCCCACCAAACTAACTGGAACATTTTTTTGAAATATCGCTGGCCCATTTTTGCGGTAAAATCTGGTGTATTTTATTTGGTGTGAATTTAAAGTTTGACAGTTTAATTTTCTCGACTTATGTGTGGATTTTTTTAACTGGATGTTGCAGATGCCATGAAAAGGTGATGTCAGTGGCTTACAAACGGCAAAGGGGATTTTTCGTGTGAAAATGGCTAAAGGCTCTGAGAGACTACCCGGTACCTCCACGAGGATCAGAACGAGAGACGACGGCTGTTGCTCCGTTAATTTTCTGAAATATGTTCTTCATATTTACAATGTTGTGTTATTTGTGAGTATCGTTACGAGTATTATAACGGTAAACAGAGATGCGGGAGGAAATGGATATTTATCTTTAATTTTAATGGAACGTACCTACACAGCGGTAAAGGCTGAAGGAAAAATAGTGAAAATCTCTAGTTTGTTGTGAAGGGAAGTTGTGCTCTATTTGTTTTACTCGATACTGAGGGTAACATGCGGGAGGATGGTGTGTTTTCTCCGCTCACTTCCAAAAGATTTACTTTGTCTGTTATTTGTCTTGAAGAGGTCAAAGTTATTCAGGATTTAATTAAAAATTATTCCAGAGTGCGTAGACAAGCATTTTATTTTTAGGGATTTTGCGTAATGATTATAATTTTTTCCGGACACACAAAAAGGCCCAAAAAATTAGAGAAAAATTACTAAACCAGTCAAGTAATCGTGGACTGGAATCCAGTTTTAAGTAATCGATATAGCACTCTATATCCGGGCAAAAAGTGCCAGACGAATAGTGAACCTTTTTTCAATAACTCAGGAAAATTAACTAAAGTGTAATGTGCTAAATATTTGAAATTTTTCTTTCATTCTAACATACACTATCCCATGAACGTCAATAGTTACTCAGTATTGTGTCAAAATTTACATTTGTGTACGAATTTTTCTGTGATGGGGAATGATTTGTTTGCCAAACGTGCTGTAGTAAAAAAAGCATTGGTTGCGCATAAAAACTTGTAACCGGGGGGCATTCCCGGTTGCGCATAAAAACTTGTAACCGGGGGGTATTCCTTCCCTTGTAGGTCGTAAAATTCTCCTACATGGGGAAAAAAGCAGTAGGAAAATTACTGAACAAGTAATCGTGGAGCGGAATCCATTTTTAGGTATTTTTCACCCCATATCGGAGCAAAAAGTGCGAAATGAATAGTGAATTTTTCTCTACTGACTCAGGAAAATTAGCCGCTCAGAAACAACGCCCTTTTGACGCTAATCTCGCCGTGCGCTAAATAACAACGCAATTCACAACTTCACAACTTCCAAGAGCCCAACAAATATATCAGTAGTGAAGTGGTAAACAGAGATAAATCGACTGATCTCTCAGTTGAGTTTTTGAGGAATATTTCCAAATCTAAGGGAGATAGCGGAATTTTCGTAATCACATTTGTTGTAGCACTCAATCGGTTCCACAAAAAACGTTGTAACAGAAATTTTGCTATCTCCCTTAGATTCCGAGATATTGATTGAAAACTAGTCAATAGTCAAAATTGTCTTATCTCCTTTTACCACTTCGCTACTGATATAAAGTAGAAGCAATCAAAGTCAAGTGGTTATTCTTTACAACAGATCGTGCACAAAGTTGTAAAGTTCTATATTTTTGGAAACATCCAACTTTGAAAAGAGACATGCATTCACGCGGAGGTCTATGCACGGAAGAAAAAAACTACCTGAATTGAGTATAAAACATACTTGATTCAAGTATATATTGTACTCAGTTGGGGGATGGATATTTCAATTCGAAGATGATTCTTTTGTATCAGGCCGGGTTGTAACAAGTCCTCTTAAGTGTAGGGGAGGGTAGGGCGAAACGGACCACTGACAGAAAATTGGTAATTTTTGTTTTTTTTTCCTTCAAATCAACCGTCACAGGGTTTTTATAGACAACAAGTGTCGTTAAACCGCAATTTGATCACATTTGCTAGTCACCTCAAACCATAAATGACTTCGAATTTGCTCCATTCGGAAGGAAAAACAAAAATTATTAATTATTGAGAATTAAATTTATTGAGAATTAAATTTCGATCCTTATTTTCGAGGATTTGATGAAACATCACATAAATCATGGGAGAAAGCGTATTGTGAGAAATAAAATTATTTTTACTCCCACATGCGTCACTTTTCTGCCTGACGAACCGTAAAATTCTTCAACAAAGTGTAATCTTTTTCATTAACAATTCGCTCCACAATTACATTTCTGACAGTAAAATTTATATCTATCCTCTGGATACAGGGAGAGAAATTCATTAGAAAAATTCGAGTGCTGGTACTGCACTGTAAATTGCGGTAAGTGCATACTGTTAGCAATTTTTCGAAGTGTTATGGAAAATATGGTAGTAATTCTCATGAGAGTGACATTGAATCCGATTTAGGGGGAAAATAGTTCTGAAATTTCAAGTTTCAGGTAGAATTCAAGGAAATTCATGAGTTTTCAGTGGGAGTGAGACAATAATTTCACAACTTGATTTAATTTCCAATGAAACATAAATATTCAGAAATAAACTGACATAAATTTTCAATTTTTCTCCCAATTTTCGTGTCTTTTCCGAATTTTCACGAAATAATTTAACTGAAAAATCAAGTTTTTTATAATTTTTCAAATAGTTCAAACAGAAAATCAATGGAATGGTCAATGTTTTAATGACAAGATTTCCTGGAATTTGAATGGAAATTAAACATGATAAAATTTGACACGGAAAATTCAGACAAAAATTTTTAACAGTGCAGGTAAAATTTCTGGAGATTTCTGTAAAAATTTCATGTAAAAACGGAAAAAAACGCGTACTATTCAAAAAACTTTCCAGTGCCGTCACTGGAATTTTTCTCCGGCCATCACTTTGCGCCTTTTCCCCCTTCCAAGCACTCGAAGGGAGAAAATTTTTCTCCGTGTAACTCTTCGGCTTTTCTCTCCATATAGTAAAAAGTTTAAAACTTGTACTACAAAGTAGGTAATTCAATGTATTTTTAATTTCGGTCTAATTTGATTCTAGGAATTAAAGCAAATATCAGTGTTCAGTACTACGCAGTTTTGATATTTAACATTGAATTTTGTGGACCTAAGTCAATATTTAGGCGGGCTCATGAAAATGTAACGGACTGTTTTAATAGAGATGAGGTGAAATACTACGAGTCAACACAACTTCTCTGTTGGATGAGTTCTTCCATAGCGAGAATTATCCGGAATACCAAATTTTTTCCATTACGTTCAACTAAAAATCTTTTTACATGGTCATTTTAGAATCAGAATTATCCTTGAATCGGCTTACCTTTCCGGGTAGGCACCCGGAATAGGAAATATCCTATTTGAGCGATGCTACATTGATGGAAGGATTTAGATGCTGTTGAAAAGGTCTTTTACATATTGACACCATTCGTGAATAGTTAACGAATGACATTCATATTTAATAATCTTCGTTAATAACAACGAAATCCCTTCATCTATTCTATCGATGTACCACTGCGCTGAGAGAGAAAATTACTTTGATAAAGATGATTTCCTGGATAGAAGAAAATATTCTCTCGTCAATTTCTAGAATCGTGAAATCTCCTGGTAAATAATTTTGTGCTCACACTGAGAGAAAGAAGTCTTTCAACAGGATGAGATGCTCTGGGGCTGAGCAAATTTTTAAGGATGTTTAGCCAGTGCCGGTAAATTGTCGGTAAATGTGATTTTTTCGATGTTCAAGGAAAATTTTGTAATTTTTTTGGCTGATAGTAGAACATATAAAACTTATTTTATTGATGTTTAAAAAATACTTATCGCAATAACATCGGCAGAAATAAATAAACAAACTTTTCCTTATACATGAGCTGTTATGGGATTTATGTTCAAATTGATAATTCACTTACTAGAAGACTCTAAGAATAGAAATAAAAGTAGGAGGTAATCTGCACAATTATACTGAATCGAAAGGCCAGAGACAAATCTGGGGTATCCGGGCAGACAGAGGAAATATTTAAATGATTCTATCCCATATAAGCGCATGTTAGCGCATGCATTTGGGACATTTTGTCTATTTAATTTCTAAATAATGAGCATGGGTTGGTGGATTGAAATTTCTACCAAAGTAAAGGGAATAACTTCATCTCACAGTTAAAAAAAAATCAATTCTTTTTTGAGTACTTGCGATTTTCGATAAACATCCTTAAGTGTTAGCATAAGCTTCCCATAAATTCGTATATTTTGAGTTATATCTAGAATGTAATGGATTGTGAGAATTCAAACTTTCTCGATCTGATCACTCATCATCTCCAACTGAGGAATTCTTGCTCCGATTACATGACGAACACTTTCATTATCAATTCAGTAGCGAAGTGGTAAAACGGTTTAAGTCGACTTATCTCCCAGTTGAGTTTTTGAGGGATATTTCCAAATCTAAGGGAAATAGCGAAATTTTCGTGATTACATTTATTGTAGCCCTCAATCGGCTTTACAAAAAAGGTTATTATGAAAATCTCGCTATCTCCCTTAAATTCGAAAATATTTCAGGAAAACTCAACTAAAGACTAAATTGACTTCAACCGTTTGACCACTTCGTACTGATTTGTCGACTTCTAGAAATCAGTGACATATCCCTGAGAATCAAAGTTTCTCCTTCTCTGATGTGGAATAACACAAAGTCCATCGAATATTCCCCACGTAATTAAACTTCAACATTAATCCTAAAATATAAGTCCCACTGATCGGCTCATAACTTGAAAATTTACAACGGTAGTATTCAATTCGGAAATCCTCTTACGAAGACGGTTCCATTACATTTGGGATTAATAAACTGTAAAGCGATAAAGACCATAATTTTCCGTCTAGTCTAGACTAATCGGGATAACAAATATGTTGATACTTGTGAAACTCTATACCTCAAAGTACGAAATTTATGGCAGATGGGCCGTGGCGGGAGGGGGCGGGGGGGGGGAGGGGAGCGGTGGCTGGGAGAAACCACGTGGCAGAACTCGATAATGCACCTGATAATGCAACAATGAAGCCACATCACGGGCCCACTCTCCAAACTCCAGGATAGTTGAACGAACAATACCTGGGTACCCGATACGATGGTGCTTTATACTAGTTGGAACGACGTTGATGCATTAGCGGCTGGATGAGATAGAATACGAGCCATCAATGCATTATCAACTCACAGAGTCGATTATTATTTGTGTACCAGTAATTGACAGATCCACACTTCCAATTGTCCTGGGACATGCGTGGAGTACTCGTATTTTTCAATTTATGACGACGGGAAGAGGAATTAAATTGACCTGTTCCTG